GCCCCCTGTACCCTGTCATCGGAGGCCTGGCTTGGCACACGCCAGCTGCCCACATTCCCAGAGGGAGGGGCCCCCACGGCTGGAGCCAGGCGGCGGGTGTGGAGGCCCGCCGCTGGAGCGGTGCCCTGGCGCTCTCGCCACCCTTCAAGCTGCGGGGACGGATTTAGTGTCCTTAATCCTCCTCTTGAGTCAAGCGCCTGCTTGTCACCGGCCTGCCTGGGACCCCTCGGAGCACCCTCTTCAGCGAGGCCTGCCTTTCCTGAGCTCAAAGGCCCGGAGGCCTGGCCATGCCAGAGGGTCAGTGGGCTGGAGTCCGCTCAGCGGCTCCGTCCCCACCAGCCTCCTTTGTGAAACGAAGGCTGTCTCCACAGCAGACTGGGCGATGCCCTTGAGTCTCTGTAGTCCTCCCCATCAATAGGTGGGGTCTGCTGCTACCCCCTGATTTGGGGCTGCTCCAGGTGAGACTTCCTCGTGCTAATAGAATGAGGGGGGAGTTACCACGTGAGGGGCCTTGCACCTCCTATTCTTGCGGATTTGGAACCTTTCCCCTTCCACGTGAAAAAGCTCGTCCATAGTTCATCAGGTACTCTGTCTATCAGATCTAGACCCTTAAATCTATTTCTCACTTCCACTGTATAAGCATAAGAGATTTGATTTAGGTCATACCTGAATGGTCTAGTGGTTTTCCCTACTTTCTTCAGTTTAAGTCAGAACCACCCAGCTGAGCCAAGCCCAAACTGCCAACCCACCGAACTGTGAGCCAAATAAGCTGCTAGTGTTTTAAGCCCTTTAGTTTTGGGATGTTTGTTACGCAGCCAGAGCTAACTAATAGTCCCTGTTCCAATCCTGGGGAGGAACAGGGAACACTTTGGACCGTGCCTGCCACAGAGAGGATGCCCACCGTGTGCTGGTCCTCTGCTCCTGAGCCAGAAGTTTTCAGTAAAAGAAAGAAGAGGCAGCCTCTTGTGGACTTGGTGATTTTTATCACCTGTTTCATCTCACCTGCAATTGGTCACCTCCTCCATGTCTCGGTTACAGAGGGGCTCCTGTACCCTGCGTACCCTCACTGACTCGTGCTTTAGACTCCAGGGCATCTAGCAGAACACCCACAAGCGCATGTTGAGAGAGACGGGAACCCCAGCCTTGAAGGAGTGGCTCTCGGAAGAGGACCACATAAACGGGCCTCAAGATGAGTGGGGTGGATCGAGGAAAGAGGGCACGTCCTGGGAGCCCAGAGAAAGGCATGTGAGCCATGAAGGGCGAGGGGCTAACGGAGCCAGTGACGAGGATTGACAGCGACAAGTGGACGTGTCCACCTGGAGGCCGGCCACCAGTGGCCCTGGAGACAGGATTCCATGGAGAGCAAGCAACAGAATTCTGAACGCAGCGGCTCGGGGGGGTGAGCTGGTGGGCAAGTGAAGGCCTGCAGTGTGGACATATTATGTTCCCAAACATTCCTTTATGTACGTGTTTCACCCATTGCATGTGGAGCACCTCCAACCTCCAGGAGATCTGGGAGATACAGAAGTAAACAGCACAGTCCTCATCTTCAAGGAACATGAGGTCCTCGATGAGACAGACCATGGATGAATGAATGAACGCACCAATGAATGGGTGAAATCTTCTCTGGTACATGCCCTCCAGGGCTAGTCCTTCCCCCTCAGCATAGCCCTGGGGTCCAGCACACAGCCTCTGGGGTCGGACGGCCCCAGCAGCTGTGTGACCTTGGGCAGGTGGCTACACCTCTCTGGGCTGTGGAGCAGGGCGTGCATCAGGCTCTCTGGAGGAGAAGCCGGGGGCCTGGTGGACGGGTGCCCAGGGGTCAGCTGTGGGAGGCTCTTCCCGGCTGGCAGAACCCCCAGGGAGCTGTGTTTGATCTCTCCTTCTCATGAAACACCTGACTGAGTGAAGGGCACGCTGGTTTTGTTTTTGGTTTTTTTAAGGAGGGAATAAGAAGATGGGGGTGGGGTGGGGTGTGGGGAGGAGACAGGGAGGTGGGGTGGGAGGGACAGGGAGGAGGGCGGCTCCGGAGCGCCCCCCGCCCCCCCCCCCCCCCCCCCCCCCCCGCGCAGCCCCTGTTCGCGGCTCTCTGGCGGCATCAGTGCATTTAATCCCCACGGCGGCCCAGCGGGGCAGGTGCTGTGGTCATCGGCGCTGGGCCAACAGGGAAATGAAGCAATCCGCCCCGTGTGACAGGCCCCGGGGTGCAGGGCGGGCCTGGAATCCTGGCAGCCCGATCCCAGAGCAGTCGGGGAAGGGGGTGGCAGTCTGAGCGGGCCAGCCTCAGGTCGGAGCCCAGAACTGTCGCAGACCCTGGCCGCCTCTGGATCAGAGAGGGGTGGCACCCTGCCACCTGGAAACATCCACCTCCCTTGGCCTCTTTCTGATCTTCACTGGGGCTTCCAACACCCCGCCCAGTGAGCCCCGAGGCAGCCCCTGCCTGCAGGCCCACTCACCCTGAGAGATACTGTCTGTCCGTGGGAAGTGCGGTGCTCAAGGCCTCTCCCTGACACAGGCCCATCCTCCGCAGAAGCCTCCTCACTGGCTCCCCGGAGCCCCCAGGGAAAAAGCCAACTCACGCGTCCCTTTCTTGCTGAGAACTTTCGGCAGCTCCCTGCTGTCCTCCAAGTGATCCAACCCCTCCAGCCCCCAAGGTCTCACCAGCCTAACCTCTCCCCCTGGACGGCCCGCCGGCTGCCTTAGACCCTTCCGACCGGTCACAGGGAAGGATTGGCTTTTCCCACTGTTGTGTCTTTGCTTGAGCCCCTCTGTGGGCCCAGCTGTCCCCACCCCCCCGCCCAGCTCCCCAGGCCAGGCAGAGGGCTCCTCCTGAGTTAGGGGTCAGAGCTCGGGGCCCTGACTCACCACCGTGCATGTTGCACCATCTAGTCCTGAGCTCCTTGAGGCCGGGGGGCGCAGAGGCTGGCCCTCCCTGTAGCCCCTGCAACCCTGAACCCTTTCACCCCTCACAGGGGGGGCGGGGGGGCGGTGGGATTTTGGCCCAAGGAGCCACAGGGGGCGAGCCCCCGGGGGATTCGCTGTTCACCGGGACGGTCAGGCAGCCGAGACTGAGCGCCTAGGCCTCAGGGGGCCTCCGACCCCAGCAAACCTGAGGAGCTGGAGCCCGAGTCCTGCACCTGCCACGTCCCGTGAGACGCCCGCCAGAGGCTTACCTGAGGCTGCTGCTGCCCGCGCCGGTTCTGCTCTGAGATGCGGCGCCCGGCGCCCGTTCCCACGACTCGCAGCACCGCGTCCGTCACGGCGGAAGGAGCGCCGCCGCTCGTCAACTCCAGGTGCTTCTTCCAGGGGGCAGGTCGCCCTGAGGCCAGGACTGCGGTGCCCGGGGCTTGGCAGGTGGTGCCTGGCCCTGAGCCCGTCCTCCTGGCCTCCAGGAGGCTCGGATCCCTCTGCCTGGCCCCAGGGCAGTGGCCCTGTCAGGAGGGAGCCCCGGGCCAGGAGATGAGGCTGGGGGACCCCAGGGGCGGCCTGGAGCTGGGCTGGAGGGGAGGGGAGGTCATCTGAGGCCGCTGTGGGTCCCGGGAGCCCGTGAGCTGGGCTGGCGGGCTCAGTGGGGCTTCAGGCAGGTCGCACGGCAGCTGGGACAGAGGCTCTGGTTTCCAGGACGCGGCGGACAGGCCCCCTCCCTAGGTGTGCGCTGTGGAGGAGGCCTCAGGTGGTTTCCCTGGTGGCTCAGACGGTAAAGAATCTGCCTGCGATGCAAGAGACCCGAGTCCGATCCTGGGTCAGGAAGATGCCCTGGAGGCGGGCATGGCTACCCACTGTGGCGTCCTTGCCTGGAGAATCCCGTGGATGGAAGAGCCTGGCGGGCTGCAGTCCACGGGGTCGCAGAATCCTACACAGCTGAGCGACTGACACTGTCACTTTCACAAGAGCTTGCAGAACCCAGTGCACGGTGAGGCAAGCACCGTTCGCAGCCCAGGGCCCAGGCCGGCGGACGCCCCGGAGAACCACCAGGACCTCAGTCCTCACAGGAGACCCGCAGGGTGGGGGCACTGCAAATGCCACTTGGCAGGCGCGGCCCCAGCGCCGAGGAAGCCGAGACCTTCTCTGCACTGGTCCTGACCGTCCTCCTAGTCTCCTGGCCCCGCTCTCGCCCCTCCAGTCCGCTCTGGGCTGTCTCTGCTATGCTCGTGGCCCCCAGAACCGTCGGTGGCCCCCTGCCTCCTGCAGATCAAGGAACAGGCCCTCCTCCAGGAGCCTGACTCCCGGCCGCCCCCCCGGTCTGCCCCCTCCATCCTCGGGGCCCAGCTGTGCCTGCACCCGGATCCTCCTCGCCCTGGCTGCTCTGGCCTCTCCACCTGACGCTTTATGCAGCCCCTGATGAATCCCGTCCGTTCTCCGGGTGCCATGGAGGGCCACCCACTCGGGGCAGCCTGCTGCATTTCCCAGCCCCGTGGAATTCCGCCCCCCGCCCCCGGGACATCCCACAGGGCTGCCCGCCCTGTCCTCGCGGCCTCTCCACTTACAGAGAATTTGGGGTTGGACTGGCCAGGACTCCGAAGGTCTTTGTGCTTCTCTGAGCCTCCATTTGGCACCTGTGGAATGGGACGTGAGAACACCAACTGCTCCCTCGGCTGGAAGAAAGAAAAGAAGGCACCAAGGCGAGATGAGCTTTGTCGTCTCCAAGTTCCAGACTCGGGGGGCCCCGGGGGGTCCTCACGGTAGCCACTCGCTCGGGCTGGAGGACTCTGCTCTCAGGGGAGGAAGCCCCAGCCTTCCCTCTGCCCGTGGCCAGTGTCGGGTCTGGGCTAGCTGAGCTGCTGGGTCCCAGTCAATGAGACATAAGACCGAGGCTGCAGGGGGGGCTTTGGGGAAAGGCTTTCCTCGTGGAGAGGGGGACGCCTCATGGTTCCGGGGAGGTGGCCGTGGTCCTGGCCCACCTCTCGCTGCTCAGGGCGCTTTGCTATCTGGAGCCGCAGCCGCCATCTGTGTCCACGGGGGAAGGTGCCTCTGACATGCAGAGGACAGTATCATCGCCGTGGGGGGACAGTCAGAAGGTGCTGGCGTCCCTGGGACAGGGACTGAGCTACTGGGCCCCCTTGGGTCCGTCAGAGCTGAGACCTGAGCGACGAGAGATAGACGTGTGACAATCCAGGGGAGGGGTGGTCCAGGCACAGGGAACAGCCGGTGCAAAGGCCCCGCAAGA